GATGCCCGACCACTCCTGCCTCAGCGGTGGAGGCGGTGTTCACACGTGCGTGGGCAATAAAGCGGATGTGTTGTGACTCAGTGGTGGAGTCTGGAACGTTTTAGGGGAAGAGCGAGGGATACCTACAACGCGGGTGGGGACAGAAGGGGATCCCCTCGGGTTCCTGGGACTCGCTCCTGGTCCCCAGAGCTGGCAGAGGGGCTACAGCCCTACGCAGCGATCGAGGGGCTCTTCCCTTCCCGTAAGCCTGGGGGATTCCTCCCGCTGTAGCAGATCTGGCCTTGTGCCTTCCTCAAATCCCAGAGCCTTCTGTGCCCTGTATCTTCTGGCGATCTGCAACTGCACGTTGACGCTCAGCGGGGTTCGGGAGTGTTTTAAGCTCACCTGGGGGGAGGCTGGGTGCCTTGAAGCCCAGTTTCAGTAGGGGCACAGACCTCCCCCCCCCCCCCCCCAGGGCCCATTTCCTCGCCCTCTTCCCTCTGTTTAGGCTGCTAAGCCCTCGCTGCCGAGACCAGTCCTCCCTGGGCAGTTTGAGTGCCACCCTCAGCACCCAGCACCAGCGCCTTGCCGGCGAGCCGTTTCCTGGATCTGCCAGCCTGGGATACTTCCTCCTTCTGCCAGGGCTCGGCCTGAAGATGCACCCACGGCCTCCCCCACTGCGGGCACGGTGCCCACCACCCTGGGGACAGCAGCCGGGACGACGTGAGCCCTGGCACGCGCAGCCGGAGCCGCCCGCACAAAGCGCACAGAGACCAGCGCTCCTTCCGGCTTCTTTATTGGACCCAGGCCACGTGAGGTGTCCCCCCACCCCAGACACGGCTGCTCCAGCCCTCTGCCCCATCGGGCTCCCTCCCCGAAGCTGGTTTCAGAGGGGGCCGTCACCTGAAAAAGGGCTGAGACCGTCCTGGGGGGGTGGCTGCCTGGGAGAGGGGTGCTGGGGCTGGCCCTACTTGGCCAGCTTGAGCAGGCGCTGGATGTCGGGCTCCAGCTGGGCGGTGGGCATGCGGGGGCTGTAGCGCCGGAACGGTTCGCCCTCAGGGCCCACCAGGAACTTCTCGAAGTTCCAGGAGATGTCAGCCCGCTGCACGGGGCTCCACACCACGAAGCGCGGCTCTGCCATGAGGTGCGCCGCGTTGTCGACCGGCGCGGGCAGGTGCGCCTTCAGGTAGGCGAAGACAGGGTGGGTGTCCTGCCCGTTCACCTGGCACTTCTGGAAGAGGGTGAAGTTGGGCTCGAAGCCACCCCCTGGGCGCACGTACTTGAGGCTGTTGAGGATCTCCTCGTTGGTGCAGTTCTCCTGGGGCAGGGAAGGGAGAGACCCAAGGCTGTGTCATGCTTTTCCCCATCCTAACCATCACCGGGATTTCCCTGCCACCCTCCCCGGCGTGCCCGGCTGGGGCTCCATCCTGCTCTGTGCCAGCGGGCTGCGAGCGGGCGGGAGCGCATCGGCTCCGGATC